TCATTGAAGGTTTGTTTCTCACTCAATGATGTGGGGGCTTCACATGAGGCTTTGTAAGCACCACTTGATTTGTTGTGAAGTTCCTCTTTATCCTTGAGTGACATCTCATGAGCAACAATTCTTCCGATGACTTCCGTTGGCTTGAGATCTTTGTAATTGGGCATCATTTGGATCAATGTGCACACGGTATCATATTTTTCATCCAAGGCTCTTAGGATCTTCTTGATGATGAATCTATCGGTCATCTCTTCACTCCCTAAGCCGGCAATCTCATTTGTGATAAGAGCAAGCCTAGAGTACATTTCAGCGACACCTTCACCATCCTTCATTTTGAACTTGTCAAGTTGACTTTGAAGCACATCCAACTTGGATTCCTTAACGGAGTCGGTACCTTCATGCATGTCAATCAAAGTATCCCAAATTTCCTTTGCATTCTCAAGACGGCTGATTTTGTTGAATTCTTTGGGGCACAATTCGTTGAAGAGGATATCACAAGCTTGAGCATTGTATTGTAGCATCTTCAACTCATCCGCGGTAGCTTCACGATTCGATTCTCTTCCATCAAAGAATTCACCTTGCAAGCCAACACACACAATAGCCCAAACGGCGGGGTTATGTCCAAGAATATGCATTTTCATCTTATGCTTCCAACTAGCAAAATTAGTACCATCAAAGTAAGGACCTCTATGGTGATAATTTCCCTCGCTAGACGCCATACTCTCCTAGGTTGTGAAACCAAGGCTATGACCACCAAAAGCTATGGAAATCAAAGCAAATGGAGATCAAAGCTCTGATACCACTTGTAGGATCGAAAGTATGTCTAGAGGGGGGTGATTAGACTACTTGACCAAATAAAAATCTAGCCTTTTCCGAATTTTAGTTCTTGGCAGATTTTAGCTATCTTAGCACAAGTCAAGCAATCTCCACACAATTCAAGCAAGCATGCAAAAGAGTATATGAGCAGCGAAAAGTAAAGCATGCAACTTGCAAGAATGTAAAGGGAAGGGTTTGGAGGATTCAAACGCAATTGGAGACACGGATGTTTTTGTCGTGGTTCTGATAGGTGGTGCTATCGTACATCCACGTTGATGGAGACTTTAACCCACGAAGGGTAACGGTTGTGCGAGTCCATGGAGGGCTCCACCCACGAAGGGTCCACGAAGAAGCAACCTTGTCTATTCCATCATGGCCGTCGCCCATGAAGGACTTGCCTCACTAGCGGTAGATCTTCACGAAGTAGGCGATCTCCTTGCCCTTACAAACTTCTTGGTTCAACTCCACAATCTTGTCGGAGGCTCCCAAGTGACACCTAGCCAATCTAGGAGACACCACTCTCCAAGAAGTAACAAATGGTGTGTTGATGATGAACTCTTTGCTCTTGTGCTTCAAATGATAGTCTCCCCAACACTTAACTCTCTCTCACAGGATTTGGATTTGGTGGAAAGAAGATTTGAGTGGAAAGCAACTTGGGGAAGGCTAGAGATCAAGATTCATATGGTTGGAATGGAATATCTTGACCTCAACACAAGTGTAGGTGGTTCTCTCTCAGAAAATGTGTATTGGAATGTAGGTATGTTCTGATGGCTCTCTCCACGAATGAAGAGTGGGTGGAGGGGTATATATAGCCTCCACACAGAATCTAACCGTTACACACAATTTGCCAAACTCGGTGGGACCGAATGGTTAAACTCGGTCGGACCGATTCAGCAAATCTAGTGACCGTTAGAATTTTCGGTGGGACTGAGATGCAACTCGGTAGGACCGATATGGTGAGGGTTAGGGCATAACGTAATCTCGATGTGACCGATTACACAAACTCGGTGGGACCGATTTTGGTAATAAGCTAACCAGAGAGTTGGTCAGGTAAACTCGGTGGGACCGATTCTCTCATCTCGGTGAGACCAAAATGTTACAAAAGGGAAACGGAGAGTTTATATTGCAATCTCGGTGGGACCGATCGCTCATCTCGGTAAGACCGAAACGTTACGAAGGGAAACAGAGAGATTACAATCCCATCTCGGTGAGACCGAGATCCCTATCGGTGAGACCGAATTGCTAGGGTTTGTGGCAGTGGCCATGACATTTGAAACTCGGTGGCGCCGGATAGAAAGAATCGGTGGGGTCGAGTTTGACTTTTGGTTTAGGTCATATGTGGATGTGGGAAGGTAGTTGAGGATTTTGGAGCATATCACTAAGCACTTTGAGCAAGCAAACCATTAAGCAACACCTCATCCCTCCTTGATAGTATTGGCTTTTCCTATAGACTCAATGTGATCTTGGATCACTAAAATATAAAAATGTAGAGTCTTGATCTTGAAGTTTGAGCCAAATTTTTTGTCCTTAGAATTTTGAGGGATCCACTTTCCTAATCCATGCCATGCCATTCATTGAGCTTTTCCTGAAATATTAATCTTGGAATAATGTTAGCTCAATGAGCTATATATTGTTAGGAATTACCAAAACCACCCGGGAATAGTTACACTTTCAGACGGTTCTAACAACGACCCACCTCCTGCTGCGGACGCCTACATCAGCGTCTACGACCGAAAGGGCCAAAGGCCGGCGAGGAAGTTGTGAAGCTCGCTCCTCTCTCCGTTTCTATAATCTAGTTTGTACTATTAATCTAGTTAGAATTTGTCGGACCGCTGAACTTTTGGTGATCCTTAGATGTGAATTATGCCTGTTTGATGTCGATTTATATGTCCATTTCCTATCGAATTTGTTCGTTTGATAATCTATGTACTACAAATTTCGTTGCATATTTTAGTATGGATATAGAATATCGGATATGAAATACGCGGTTGTGGACACAACAATTTAAGGACTACCGGTCACTATCCACGGACAAGCCTGGGCGCACCTGCTGGCGTTTCGGTAAGTCTTGTTGTAGATGCTATTAAACGATATTAGTGTGATTTTTTTTCCAAGTCAGAGTATAGTTTCAAAAGGCTAAACGATGAATGAACGCAACGATTTGAGCATCTGTAATTACCGGCGTTAGAAAAAGCTAGGAAACTCAAAAGGAATTGTACGTGGTTGCTAACCAGTAACAAAGTCCATGTCAAATACTTTGACTTTTCCTAGCTAATAGGCAACAATCGAACCCAAAAACAGATGGTTATCAGTGCTGTATGTTTAAGCCAGCGTCGTGGGAACGAATCGCAGGCCCGCGAAACTTTTTTCTCGCTCGCCGCAGGTCTCAACGCCCCACGCGTAACTGCCAGGAGAACCTTCCACCGCACGATGCGCATCCAACGTCTTTGACCTCGTTCGGATCTGAAGCAAAATTACAGTCGGGCGGAAATTAGCTTTCTCGTTTTAGAAACTACTCCTCTGTCCCTTAAACTGGTCCCGGAAAATGCCAAATTTTGAAATGATACTTGTAATGTTGTTGTGTATTGAGTGTGGAAAAAAAAATTCAGGTCAACCGACAAAGCAGCGCTCGATTCACATACAAGCTTGACTCATTCCCTCTCAGAACTTAGTTTCTTTCTCGGAGATGGTTTGGTTTGTAAGCAATTCACGATTTGGTTTGATGTATAGATGCAAATCCCCTCCCATTTGAGAGAGAAATGCATTGTATGTATAGATGCAAACCAATTTGAGAGGGTAGTTATTTTTCAGTTTGAACTAGGGAAAACACAATGCATTGTGTATGTGCAGGTCGGATCCTAAACACAAAGGTGATGCCCAAGTGTAGAAGGAGATCGAAGCAAAGAGGCTGCCATCAAAGGTGATCCTAAACTCAAGGTGATGCCCAAGGGTCGTATCCTACTGCACATGGCAGTTTTGGAAGGACAGTAATCGGGTCTTCCGGCAGGATTATATGCCGCTTGAGGACACCATTTTTCGTATCAAATAGGCTATGAGAACGAGAGAATCAGCTTTTCCTGAGTTGTTCAGTGGTTGATGTTTCTCCTTTTTTTTCCATCCAATTCTCAACACAAATGACAAACCCGAGTGTAAGGACTACGCAGGTCTTAGGCCATATGTCGTCTGAAGGACCAAACTCAGCCGTGGCTGACTAGATTACTTGAAAACGATCATCGGGGCCAGGAGCGATCAGCGCACAAGACGAGGAACATGATTTAGCTCAGCTCAACAGCGTGAAATAGTTTGAGAACCTATGATGCACTTCACTCCTCAACAGCAGACAGCATCTTGTTGATCAGAAAGCTCTATGAACTTCTAGAATAGCAAAAGCAACGCGGCTAAAAAACATATAGAACACAGTTACATATATAACCTGAGATCTGAGAGCGACGAGTTGCAACCCGGCTTTCTCTGCAGGCTTTAGTCTGAAGGCCACCCTTCTGTCGTGCTCGGGCATGGCCTGTTGTTCCCCAAGCATCTATATTCACTTATTCAGACATATCAAATGTCCCTCGAGATCAAAATGCCAATTCCGCAAATTCTGTCAAACTCAACGCTATATAAAACCTGCTGACCGATCAGGTCAAGCACACCCTTCACATTCTCACCTTTACTTTTGACAACATCCGAATTGCCAAACCAAAGAGAACAATTACCAAAGTGTAACAAATGCAGAAAATGGGCCAAAGAAGGTTATTGGAGATTCCTTTTTCTTTCTTTCTTTGAGAGCGTAGATTCCAATATATGACGACAGTGACAATGTAGTGAAGCCACAAATACTAAATCACCATTCGGTTAAAAAGCGCCATACCATGAATTATTCCATAAATTATCACAATAGATAATCCATAGATAATCACCATGCACACCAGATTCAATTACCAAACACTAATTAATTAACTGCAGTACTTAACAGAGCACCAGCTGCTCCATGCAGCTTAGAACAGCACATGGTGTTAACAGTAAGGGTTACATCATTACCTGCAAAAATCCACAGTATGGCACAACAATTATTATTAGACAACATATAAACAGGTTTTCCATACCATAGTTAGCTAACAGTGTAATACCAAGACTGGCTACTCGGTTTTACATACCATAAGCAGAGTGGGCCCACAAGCCCTAGGCTATTCTTCTTCGCCAAAGACGACACGCAGCTGCGCATAGAGGGCCTTTTCGTAAAGTTCCCCTCCCAGAAGGAAACCAAAAGCAAGAGCTGAAATAGTGAGCATTACCAGCCGTCCGTTCCTTTTCAGCCAATTGATGATGTTCTCCCTATCAAAGGATGTGCATAACACATGAATGTTAGGATCGTTTCATTTGAGTACAAATCAAATAAGCTGTAGCGCCTCCAATTAATTACCTCTTAGCTTCAGCTTTAATTCTAGCTATCTCATCATCAATAATACTAGCTATCTTGCCATCTATCTGCACTCCCTCCTTTTTTAATTTTGCCAGCAAATGATCAAACTCCTTCCTAGCAACATCCGCTTTGGCTCCATTGCTGGATCCACCCTGGTAAGATTAATAATTAGATAATTATAATTGATATAATGATACACGAGTTAAAGCAGCTATTCATGCATGTTAGTGACTGTTAACGAGAGACTATGCATTTCATGGCTAACAATAGTCCTTCTAGAATCCATACTATCAAACTTTCAGAAATTTGACCCCTGGTATGTCTAAAGCTATCAATACTGACTATATGAAATTTATATTGATAGGTTGGTTCTTGGACATGCTTTAACAAGAGTACATTAGAACATATACATTTGTATACTAGAAGCTATACAGTAGTGGTCAAAATTACATTTCAACAACAACAAAAGGTCAGCAAGGGAAAATAAAACATAAGGAGTGCATACTCCTCTTCCCTCCAAGTAAATCGAGCGCCCATATATTATGGAATTAACGGTTCATATCATATCTACTGTGTACTCAATGTACCACAGATTGCTTCAGTAAAAACTAATTATCACCACCTTTTCAAGCAAGCAAGAGCAACAAATTCAGCACATAATTCTAAGATAGGTCTCCTCTGCAAGCCGGCACTTAAGGTGCACATGTCAGTGGCAATATTCACCATCATTGGGTCGAAGTACAGAAACCCTCTCCTAACAAAGGTCTGAACTAGGAAAGGCGTATATCATTGTTATTGTCTGGGGAAAAAAGGCTAAGGCGCATCATATAATTTGATTTGTTAGCATAAAACCGTTTGATGGGGTTAATTTGGTGATGAACGTCAGAACAAGGCAGTCGGACAGCGAATTGCTGGCATACTAGCTAGGTGGATCGATCGAACGAGACTGAGAGCGAACTGGTACCTGAGAGGTGGGAGGCAGAGAGTCCGCCGGCGGCGAATAACGGGGGCCCAGATCCTGCGGCGAAGTGCTGGAGGGAGAGCGCAGCGCCATGGCACCGGCACGCCGCAAGAATCCGGAGGAAGAGGGGGCGTCGGCTGGGGTTTGGGTGCTGTTTTTTTTTTTTTTTTTTTTTTGCTTCCTCGATCGATTCGTGGCCTCGTTTTGTTGTTTTTTTCCTTTGGGTTTTTATTTTTTTGAGTGGTTCGTCTTTGTTGGTGAGGGGGCAGCCGATAGGGGCGCTGATATGTCTCGCCTTGAGCGAGACGAGAGAAAGTATCGCTGAAGGCGAGCTTCATATTGGGCCAGCCCATCGCGCCGCTGGCCACAGGCCATTTTTTTTCCAGGTTTTATGCTTTGTGTTTTCTTTTACTTTATTTATACTAGGAAACATGCCCGTGCGTTGCTACAGAGTGGAGGTGCAGTGGTTGGAGATAGAGAGAGGTGCCCCGATGACTTCCACGGAGTGCATTTTTCTCGACTTTGAAGCACATTTTTCAAGAGTTCAATTACTAATTCAAATATTTTTGAAGTAAGAGAACATATGATGTTTTTCGCCTGACTTCAAGATGACATTATAGATTAGAGCCTATGTAGCTACTTATAAATTAATTTAATTACGCTAGAGATAAGCATCAGAATATATGTGTTGTTTTCATGTTGAGTATCATGTTTTTCCTTCAAGCAGTTTAGAAAGCAGAAAAATGATAACACAAATAGGTGCAAATCCAACCTATAAAAGAAAAAAAGTTGAACCAAACCTGGCAAGTGTGTGCATGTAAATTCGCAAAAGCAAACAAAATGCATGCACGGCGAGAAAAGCTCAGGAGGGACGCGTGCATGCATATCAGCTGTAGACGACAACGATTCCATCAACCGGCGCGTATTGTTTGGCCGCACACACCGATGTCTATTCCTTCAACCTTATCTTCTCAGCCTCCTCCCTCCTCTATCCTTCTTCCTCCCAGATAGATCCTCTCTCCTTCTTCCTCCCAGTTCTTTCTTTTTCACTTGAACATGAGTAGGAGCACGCACGCAGGGAGCCCTGCCATGTTGCCGCCGCGCCGTCACCACCACCACCACGGACGTCGTCGCACCGCCGCCACCACCCTCTTCCTCACCTCCATGCGGGAGTGCCGGTGCCGCGAGGCCGCTCGCCGTCGTCTTCGTCAGTCTAAGGGAGCAAGGTGGGACTACTTCATGCCTAATATCCATGTGTGCTCTCTTTTTTTACTGGTAAACGAAATCTCATAGCAACACGGCCTCGCTCTCGGCCCATAAGAGAAAAGGCCCACAGCAGCACGGCGTTGCTCGTACAAGCAATCGATCGGGAAGGAAAAAACGAATTTTAATACCACCTCGAATATAGCGAAAGTAAATATAGATGTGTTAAAAAAAACTGAAAGCGTAAATTCATGGGAAGAAGCGTATTATGACGGTGAACCCGAGAGACTCAACCCGTACTTTATTATTAGGGAAAGATTTCCATATTCTATATTATGAAGACTACTTTACATGAAAATTTCAAAAAATGTTGATCAAGCATTTACAAAATGTTTAATGTGTATAGAAAAAAATGTTTCTCATATATACTAAAAAAATACAATGTCAAATGTATATAGAAATAATGTAGACCGTGTATTTATATGATCTTAATCCAAGCATTTGAAAACAATGTTGAGCAAGTGTTCGAAAAATGTTAACTTGTATTTGAAATTTTGTAAATGTGTATAGAAAATATTTGACTATATAAATCCATTACATGTTAAACTTGTATTTGAGAAATGTTAAATGTGTATAAAAATTTGTTTGACCATGTATTCAAAAAATGTTAAACATGCCTTTCAAAAATGTTAATAAAGCATTTGTAGAAGTGTTGATCAAGTATTTGAAAAAAATTAATCAAGAATTTTAGAAATGCATATATGTATATAAAAATGTTGACCATGTCAAAATTATATATTTTTTTGAAAATATATTAATAAAGCATTTGAAAATATGTTGAACAAGTATTTGAAAAATGATAATCAAGCATTTAAAATATGTTAAATGTGTATATAAAAAATGTTGACTATTTATTAAAAAATGATAAAAACATGATCAGGTATATATAAAATGTTAATTAAGCATTTTAAAAAATATTAACAAGTATTTGAAAAATATTAAGCAAGCATTTAAAAAATGTTAAATGTGTATAAAAAATGATGACCATGTATTAAAAATGATGAAAGTTCTTGATCATGTACATTAAAATGTTAACCAAGAATTTGAGAAAATGTTGAAGAAGTATCTGCAAAATGTTAATCAAGCATATAAAAAATGCTCAATGTGTATAGAAAAAATATTGATCATGTATTTGAAAAATGTTGAAAGTATTTGAAAAATGTTAAATGTGTGTTAGACAAATGTATTAGATATATAACAAAAATATGTAGAAAAACAGTGCCGAGGGAAAACAAAAGAAAACAGATGAAAAACGAGAAAGAAAGAAACAACACCAAAGGAAAATCAAGAAAAGAAAAAGGCAATTGAAAACCGAGAAAGAAACAGAGAAAACAAAGAAAAAGGAAAAAAAACCATTAAAAACGAAGAAAGAAACAAAGACAAACCATGGAAAGCATGAGGAAACCCGAGTCGTTTTGTTCAAGTAGGTCGCCCCCTAGTAGTCTAACACGAAATCGATGAGTACTAAGTGGCTAGCAGCACCATGCTTTAACCAAGAGGATCTAGGATTGAATCCTGCTCGGTCCCCTTTTCACTCCTCTCGCGTAGCTTCCGCAATTAAAGCCCAAAATCCTCATCTCACAGTCTCAATAGTAAGGATGAAAACAGAGCAAAAATAGACAGAACTGGCAAAAGCGGAAATGAATACAAAAATCCCGGAAGTGAATATGAAAAATAGATAATACCGAAAACGAACATGATGCGAATACGGAGCGGACACGACAAGGAAAGAGTGTGTTGAATGGAAGTTGAAAACCCCTTAAACCATAAAGAAAAAACACAGGCAAGCAAACAAACTTAATCAATTGTTAACATGGATATCAAATAATATGATTAGTTTTTTTAATAAATAATACGATTAGGTTATTGACTTACCGTAATATTTTAGTAGTCCTAGACAATTGTGTGGGTCTAGTTGCATACATGTGTGGTAGTAGAACATTGGCCTCACATAGGCCATTCTGCTAAATGTGTTGTTTGGTGATTCTACTACAAAATGGTCATTGGCTCATAGTACAACAACAACAACAACAATAACAATAGCATTTAGTATCAAACAAGTTGGTGTAGGCTAGAAGTGAAAGCCATAAGATCTCGTAACCAACTCATGGTTCTGGTATATGGATAGCAAGCTTTCACGCACCCTTGTTCATGGCTAGTTCTTTGTTGATACTCCGTCCTTCAATCTCTTTATGGATTTCTCCCATGTCAAGTTCGATCTATCCCGGCCTCTCTTACATTATCAGCATGCTTCAGCCATTCGCTATGTGATGGAGCTTCTAGAGGCCTGTGTTGAATATACCCAAACCATCTCAGATGATGTTGGACAAGCTTCTCTTCAATCGGTGCTACCCCAACTCTATCTCGTATATCATCATTTCTGACCCGGTCATTCCTTGTGTGGCCACACATTCATCTCTTAAAAGGGTGCTGCTGTGGGGATTTGATCACTGGTCACATAGGTGTCAACCAACACGCCAGTCATTGGCTCATAGTAAGAACAAAAAATTCATATTCATGAAAACGGAAGATTGTCATATCACGGATCATTTCATACAACGGTCCATAGATAATCACGGCACACAATTACCAAACATTAATTGACCCGCATGCAATACTTACAGCACCTACTCCACGCAACTTAGAACAGCTAAGCGGTGTTACCAAATAGGAGTTACACTAGTAGAAAATAGGGCTATGGTCCAGGCCGGCTCAGCCCATTAGTCCCGGTTCAGTCTAGAATCGGGACCAATGTGGGCATTGGTCCCGGTTCGTGAGCCCAGGGGGCCGGCTGGGCCACGTGGGCCATTGGTCCCGGTTCGTCTGGAGCTTTTGGTCACGGTTGGTGGGACGAACCGGGACCAATGGGCCTCGCTCCTGGCCCACCACCATTGGTCCCGGTTGGTGGCTTGAATCGGGACCAAAGGCTTCCTTTTAGTCCCGGTTCATGTCATCAACCGGGACCAATGAGGTGCCTATATATATACCCCCTCGCGCAAGAGCAGAGCACAGTGCTCTGTTTTTTCTGGCCGAGGGGGAGAGGGCTTTGTGGTGCTCTAGCTCACCTCCTATGCACATGAGGTGTTTGATGGAATGCCCGAGCCACACTACTTAAGCTTTCTCCTCTCGAAGCTCGACCTCCAAGCTCCATTTTCCTCGAGATTTGTCTAGATTTAGCGGTCCGTCACGCCCCGTCCCCGCCTTCACCGCCGTCGATCACCCGCGCCGATCTCATCACCGACACCACCGTGGTGAGCCTCTTGTTCTTATCTTCTTTCTGAAAGGAAAAATATTCTTACTTGTATGTTTAGATAGATACTTGTATCATTTTCTTACATTTATTATTGCATCTTATATAGTGCGATGGTTTTGGTATCCGCCCCCGTCGGCCCTCGTCCTGTCTATGATTCGTATTTGGTATGTATATTATCTTTATAACTATTGGTTCATTTATTGTTTATGAAAATTATGCCGGCCAACGTGACATAGATTTTATTTATCTAGGATGTATGTGAATCGGAAATGCCAACCGACCCTATTGTCGAGAGGTTAAATTTAGTTGAAGAAGAAAACAATTTGTTGAAGGAAAAAATAAAAAAGTTTGAGGAGGAGAAGATGATATTGGAGTTGCATGTTGCGGATGTCGTCGATGATCACAAGATCAAGATGGATGCAATGCGCTTGAAGATTAGAAAGATTAGAAAATATGCCATTCATACCGAGGCTTGGTATCATTATGCCGTTGGATCAATTGTTACCTTGGTTGCGATTATGATCGCATTTGTTTTTGCATTGAAATGTTTTACATAGTTTCAATGTATGGTTTAATT